TGTCTTTTTAGTGATAGATTTGTTTTGTCTGCATTTATTCTTACTGGTAACATATTTGGACTTGTTTCCATGCTCATATTTTGTGTCCTACATATTAGAACTGTATGTATACTCCTTTTTGAAAAGACTTGTTATATTTTATTTCAGTTGAAGAAGATCAACATCAACAAGGAAATCTTGGGAACCCTAGAAGGTCTCCAGCTCCTAGCATCCGTTAAGTACGTTGGTGTCTGCATTGCCCGTCCTCAGCATGCTTCGTCGTCCCCTCTCCTGTGTCCTTTTCTGTCCATTCTGCATGCATTCTTGCAGAGCCCTAGTTTGTTTTCCCTCCATCCATTCGTTCTTTAGCTACAACACATCTGCGCTGTGTGGACACACCAGTGTCAGCGCTGAGTCTGCATTTCTGTCTCCTTAACACTCGCCCTCCCTGCCTCTTTCTGCTCCCTTTTCTGTAAAACTGGCTTTCTCTTGAGTTTCTTCCTTGATCATGGATTTGACATATTCACATATGTCAAGAAGCTTCCTGAATATGTCTTTAGATTCTGCCAAGCATCGTTTTCCCAGGGATGCTCCTCGTCTGGATGTGGACAGGGTGGCTGTCACTCCAGTCCACAGAGTCCACACAGGTCTCCACCCTCTGCACTCCTCCTGAGGGAGGAGGGAGACCCGTGGCTCTCAGACCCATCCTAGCAGCCAGGATGAATGGCTTGGTTTTGGATCCTCCATCTACCTACGTGATTGCTAGTTGAATCACACTTCCCATCTACAGCTGCAAGTCCAGCCAGTGTTCAAGTGCCTGTTGCCAGTTGGTTTTATCTCATGTCTCTCTGCTCTGTTGAAGTAGCATCTTTCTCCATCCATCTCTCAGTTCCTTGGTGTTGATGTCACAGGAAGTCAGTCAGCAGGCTGCACCGTTCCCCTGGTGGTTAGAACCATGCTTGTCAACTGGTCATCTGCAGAATGCATTGCATCTTCATCAGCCCAACACTCTCATCTTTGAGCTCTAACTGGGTATAAAAGACATTGCAGGGGCGGTGGAACAGGACCCGGGGAAGTTGTCTGAAGATGAAGCAACGAGGGTGGTGATGAACATTTGCCCTATTCTCTGGTTAACACAATGTGGGCATCAGAGCCAGGGACTGACAGGGAGGGAATTACGACATGCCTTCCTGGTTACTTAGGCAGATTTTCTCTCCAGCTAACATCTTGGCACATGTCATCTACGTGCTTGTTAGGTTTCTCTCAACAGAGCGTCATCCCCCATATATATGTTGTCAGTCCCTTGCACATCCTGGCAATTAGGCTGTGAGTGCTTGCTCACCTTGTTACGTAACTTTTCATGTTTCGTCTGTTGTGAGAAACAAGGAGAGGCTTGATGGAAACCTCTAGCCAGAGGCTGTTTTGGATGGAAAGTCCCACAACACATTTCTCTTTTATTGAATTGAATCCCCTTTCCAGGGGTGCATCCCCCTAAAGGCCTGCATTGGCTGGGGATGACGCTGAAAACTGGAATCCATTCTAGGTCTCCCAGGTGTGTGGGAGGAACCAAATCACTCGAGCCACCCAGGGTTTGGATTCGCAGGAAGCTGGAATTAGGAGCTGGAGCTTGGCATGGAGTTGGCAGGATATGCTATGACATGTGGGCGTCTTAGTTGTGAGGCCAAATGCCCTTCCACCAGGATGCGTTGCAGTTCCTGCCCTGTCTTCCTGGACAGACGATCAGACTCTTCCCTGGGTCACGAGGATCCTTGGGTCACCACCAGTCTGCATGCAACCAGCACAGAACTGTTGCAGAGTAAGTGTCGCAGGGAAGAAAAAGCGAACAAAAGAGGAAGAGGAACTTTTTTTTGTTGTTTTTGTCTATTTCCCAAGTTAAAATGCTTTAAATCAATCGGAAAGGGGCCTTCTGCTTCCTGAGGAGGACTTGATGGGAGTGTGGCTCAGAGCTTCAGGATCTAATTAAAGGCAGCCGGGGTCATGGAGTGTGGAACTAAACCTTTCATTTATGCAATAAAGAAGCATTTACGAGGGAAAAGATGGGACACAGGGCAGCAACATCCCCTGTTGGATAAAGCATGTGCCAGAACAGCCTCAGAAAAGTGGTCTCGGTCCACTCTCACCTAAGGAAAACTGCAGACGAGGTGGGGAGGTGGACAGGACTTTCTCCCGGGGCAGCTTTGCAATGGGCATGATGATCACGTGCTGTTGATGTCACTGGAAATACTTTCTTACCATTTAGATACAAAATTCTGCAGAAGCAGGGGCTGAGCTGCTTGGATGCTTCCAAGCCCTCCACTCAGAGAGAACTCTGAACCCTCAACCCAGGAGCCTGCAGCTGCCGGCCTGAGCTGCAAGCATCTGTCGCTTTGAAGGAGTGATTCAATGATATCAAATAGCCCAGTGATTAATCAGAAAAACAAGCAAGCATTTGACATCAAGAGGGGAAAAAAAAAAGCCAAGGAGATGCTGTGGGGGAAAGGCACCCGGGCTTGGAGTCCCCAGCCAGCTGCGCTTCCGGGGGTATTCAGAAACCATCACCCATTGCGAGGGAAGGAGCACTTGGGCACAGCTAAATTAATATTTAACCTGCTTGAGTCCAGGCTGAGTTACTAGGGACACGAGCCAGCAGTGTTGACCTGAGCCATCAGCAAGTTCTAAGTCAGCAGCCCTCCTCTCTGCAACACGATGCTCCTTTCCCACCACTGCGCCCCCGCGCCTCTCAGCCCTCGTCCTGAGAACACTCCTTCACCGAAAGTCAGGGATGCCCCGCTCAAAGCCAGTGCTGTTGGAACAGTGGCCAGGTCTGGGCCTCATCTCTCGGCCACTCCCGTGCTTCTCCACTTGGGTACCTCTAAGGAGGCCTCCCTCAGCCAGCCACAGTGGCTGGCCTCACTGTGCAGGAGACGAGGAGAGGGGGCTGCTCAGGCAAGTTAGTGAGTTGAGATCCTCACGGGAGAAGCCTCGCTGTGAGGATTTTACAGAGCCCACATTGGGGAGTCTTCTGTAAGGTTGGAAGCCCCTCACAGGGACCCCCGGAGGGCTCCAAGGTACACCTTCCTCCACGAGTGACGTTTTTATACTCGGATGATGTCAATTTTACTTCCAGCCAGGTCTGGAAAAGCCCTGGGTTCTACCCTCAGGTGGAACACAGGAACTGGGAGAGAAGGGCCAGCAGGGTGACCATGAAGGCTTCCTGAGACAGGTGGGGTCTGGGTAGAAACGGGGGGGAAAAGCAAGTGAACACGCCGTTCAGTGCTTGTATGCACACCATTCTCACCACGTCCAGCTGCCCACAGTCACCCTTGGGCTCTTATCCTGCTTTGCTGTTCTGCAGAGACCTGCTCACTGTGGATGGCCGCCGTCCATGGCCCTCCGCCGTGTGGCGATCCCTGCTCGGCACTCCAACACACGCCCACCGCTGAGACCACAGCCCGTCTCATTCACGCAGGCACTGAGGAACATCCGCCGAGTGAGAAAGGAGTGGCTGGGTCCACAGCAGTAGCTTCCGAGCTTCCTGCACTGGAGAGAGGGGTGAGGGTGACAGAAGAAGCAGGGGGCATCAGGCCAGCTGAGAGCGCCAGGCCCAGGGGGCAGCTGGGCAGTGCGCACTGAGAAGGCAGGCTGCAGGGACTTCTCAGCAGAATGTGATTGCCATGCTAAAATGGCCAGTCTGTCTTCAGCCGACAAGGAGGAGCCGTTAGGTTCCTGTGCTGGGAAGGGATAAGATCAAGCCTGGCTTGGGAAAGACGAGCTTGGTAGCAGGGTTCAGAGGGTCTAAGCAGGGGGTGGAATGTGGGCATTTGTTCAGTTTCCCGTGTTTCAAGAGATGGCAGCGTATGTGGCTGGGGCAGGCTTGTGAGCCTGGGACAAAGGGGTCAGCAGGATGTGGCAGAGGGTGCTTGCCAGACATATATCCCAAGAGACTGTGATGTAGTGAAGGAGAAAGAACAGTGTAAAAGTCACCCACCCACAAATCCATCTGCCCACGCATCTATCCACCCACCCATAATCCATAATGATTGCATCCACTCATTCCTCTATCCTTCCACCAACCCACCCGCCTGCTCACTGACCTAGCTGCTATCCATCCGCCGATTCATCACTCATCCTTACACTTACCTATTCCAGCCCTCCCTCCCTCCCTCCCTCCCTTCCTTCCGTCCTCCCATTTGCCAATTCATCGATTGCCTCATCCACCCATCCACCCACCTGACTACAATCCATCCATCCGCTCATCTCTCCACCCATCTACCCATCCACCCGCCTGGATACCCCGCCCATCTACCCACTCATCTGGGTGAATATCCCAGGGAGTTTTTCACGAACCCTGATTCTAGGGCTCCAGCTTGGAGGACTCTTCCTTTGAGAGGTAAGGAGAGAAAGATGAAGCACAGGTGGGAGTAAAAGCAGGCCTCTCCCAGGCCGGCCGCCTGCGTTTGCCGCATGAGCTCACCCAACACACAGGTGCCACCACCTTGCACAAAAGCAGGCAGCGTTCTCGGGGCTCGGGATTCCCAAGTGAGCAAGCCAGACAACAAGCTCCAAAATAGAGAGCCCATTTCAATAAAGGAAAACTTAGAGACCCCACCGTCCTAACAGGAGTGGTATGTAGTCACGCAGAAGAAAGGAGGCACACTGAATGATTTGTAGCGCACCCGGTTCTGGGGGGCCGCGGAGAGGGGCGCTGTAAAGAGCGCGGAGCCTGCACCCCACCCCTTGGGGTCCCTTGGGTCAGGGGCGTGGACCCCGCAGCTGGAGGGGCGGGCCGGTGCGGTTCTGCCAGCGCACCACGAGGGGGCGCCCGGACCCCTCGTAGCGCCTTCGCCGCCCTCCGGCACAGCCTGGCAAGCAAAAGTTTTTCTTAAACTAACAATGCCAGTGTGAGGAGGTGCTCGCGCCTGATTGGACGGGGGAATTTTGCAGGTTTGATTCCTTGATTGGACAGGAGGTGCTAGGGGTGGGGAGAGCGCGGATGTGGGGGATCCCGCAGCCTCCCCCGCCAGTCTGGCCGGGCCCCGTCCTCCCGGAGGCTCCGCCGCAGCTCGCAATGTGACACCCGGGCGCACACGCTCGCGCGCTCTCCCGGGCTCGCCCGCCCGCGCCCTCTCTCTCACACACCCACCTCTCCCAGAAACACACACACACACATGCACACCCACACCCACGCGCGCCCGCACCGCCCCACGCGCGCACACTCCCGCCCACGCCCACGCCGCGCTCCGGGGAGTACGGTCCCGGCCAGAGCGCGAAAGGATACGGAGAAGCCACCCGCGGGGAGCGCAGCGGCGCCCCGGGACGCGGCGCCCTCCCCGCGCGGCCGCCTGGGCTCGGGCTCGGCCGGCGATGGCCCCGGATCGCCTGCTGCTGCTGCTCCTGGCGTCCGCGGTGGCCGCGATGGAAGGTGAGTTGGGAGCGGCGGGCCGTCGCCTCGGCTCGCGGGGCTCCTCGGGCTCGCGCTCCCGCACGCCGGGACCCGGGGACGCGGGGCTGGGGCGGCACCGCGGCCGGCTGCTGGGAGCTCGCGGCCTCTCGGTGACAGCTCCGGCTCCGGGAGCGCCGAGCCCGCCGCACCGCAGTGCGGGCGCCTTGGCCCCGGCCGGAGCTGCGCGCTGAGGGGAGAAGCGCCGCGGGCTGCCCGGCTCCCGGTGCCGGCGCCTGGTGCCCGGCTCCGGCTCCCGCGCCCGGCCGCGCTCCCCACCCCCGGCCCCGCGGCGCTGCCCTGAGGCGGCCGAGAGACGCCTGGCTCTCCTCAGCTCGCCGCGCTTCCGCTCCCGGAGCCGGGGCTGGCGGGCCAGCGGTGCGCGCGGGAGCCGGGCCGGGACCGAGCCGGGCCAGTGGGTCGGCCGGACCCCTGGGAACAGCAGTGCGGCGGTCCCGGCCGCCCCTGTCAGGGTAGTTAGGGCCAGGTGGTGCTTCGGGGCAGGGGTGCAGTGGGGTGGGTCCCCCCGCCTCACCTCGTCCTGACCCCGCCGACCCTGCTCCCTTGAGGGCGCGCCAAGGGCCACCGGGCGACGCCTCGGCCGCGCAGCCTGGGTCCTTCCCGCCCCGGCTCCGGGCGCACAGGGGCGGCAGCGCCTCGCGGGACGCGGCCGGGCGGGAGTTGGAGTTGGTGCCGCGGGGGAAGCAACTCTGAGGGGGAAGCGCCGCCGCGCCCGCGCCGCACGCGCTCTCCCGGCTCCTGTCGGTTCTCCTCGGGGGACTCCGTGCTGACAGCCCACTCTGCAGCGCACTGGGGGAAACTGGGAACGTTGGCTCCGCAGAAACTCCCGCAAACGCCGGGGCTCGGCGCCCGCAGAAGGCACTGCCCTTCTGAGCGAAGCTGGGGGAGTGGGGTGGCCTTAGGGGCCCCAGGCGCGGTTGTGCTGCGCTCGGCGTTGGATGTCGGCCGCCTGCGCGTACTGTGTGGCGGAGCCAGGGCCTGGATAGCTCTCGCTCGCTCGTCGCTTCAGCTGCCCTCTGCCCCGTGCTGGCCCGGTCCACCTGCTGTTTTTGGTGGGCGGGCGGGGTGGGGATTGCGCTTTGGAACGTGCTGGGGTCTGAAGCAGCGCTCTGCGCTGACTACACCTCAGCGACCAAGGTTTGGGTTTAGACTCACAGAGAGACACGTGCAACCGGCAGTTGCAATAGAAAGGAAATTCGGGGGAGGAAGAGCAAGCTGACCATGGCCATGCAGCCCCTGGCGAGGGCGCGCCGGCCGAGGGCTGGGTAAGACCAGACTCCCAGCGTACGCGGGGAGGAGGGTCAGGGCTTGGGTCTCCGACAACAGATGGATGCGCCTGGTTTTGGCGTGAGTTCGATCCGTGGAGGAGCTGGCGTGCAAGCCAGTATAGTCTGGAGAGTAGATCAGTGGCACACATGAGGCGTGGGGCCAGCGTGTGTGGCTCTCCACTGTCTGCTGAGCTGCAGCTGCCCACGGTGCCCCGGACCTGTCACCCAGGCCTCCTGGTGCCACTGGCTGCGGAGCTGGCACGGCCCTCTTGGTGCAGGGGGGAAAGTTGGCCTGAGAGCCGGGAACCTGACTGAGGACTGGGAGTCTGTCCAGCAAGGGTTAAAGGAAAGGCCACATTCAGCAGAACGACTCAGCAGGCCTTGGTCCGTGCTCAGTGTGTAGGGAGAGCACATACCGTTCTCAGCTTCCCTCCCTCGAATGAACGCAGGCCGGCTCATTTTCTACTCTCCACGCACACAGGGCTGCCTGCCCGCCTGCCCCGCTGGGCGGGGGCCAGCATCATTTGGTTTGTGATGAGTGAGGAATAATTATCAGAATAGTGGATCAATGAACTGCCTGCGCAGACAGCAGCGGGTCCTTCCCAAGCGCTGCTGTGGCCAGGGGGCGCCTCTGCCTGTTGGTTTCCAGCACTTCCCTGCACTGTTCCTTGCAATCCCAGTGGGGCCTAGCCACCCAGGGCAGGCAGATGCTCAGGTGCTCTGGCCAGGGCAGGAACAGTGGGACAACTGGCAGTCGTGGGCCAGGTGGGGAGATGTGGCCAGAGGAAGGAAGGACCCTGTGAGATCTGTGCCTGGGTGAGAGGAAGAAGGAGAGGAGAGGAGAGGAAGGGAGGAAGAAAGCAGAGAGGGAGGGAAGGGAGGAAGGAAAGAAATGAGGGAAAGAAGGGGAGAGGGTGGAGGGAAGAAGGAGGGGCTAAGGAAAGGAGGAAGGGAGAGATGGAGGAAGGAAAGAGAGAAAGAAAAAAGGAGAAGGTAGATGAGGGCCTTGTACCAGCCTCTGCTTGGTAGAAGGAAGCAGGACCACGGTTGGTTGTTGGCCAGAGGGGGCTGGGTCCCTGCTGCCATTCACAGTTCATCAGCTAGGAAGCTGGTTGGCTTGGGGTGTGGGAAAGCCAGCCTGCAAAGGAGCTGCCTCCCCTCACCCTGCCTGATTTCTATCTAGTGGTGTGGCTGAGGAGGGAAATGGCGCTGGGCAGGGCAGAGTCTGTCTGGGGCTTTTATGTCTATTTGTAGAGTGGGCACAACAGGCTGTGGGCACAGGGATATGGCCACCCCTTGCCCAGGTCTCTCCCCAGAGCGTCCTGCACACAGCAGCCTTCGCAGGGCTGTGTCCTGCCGACAGCGGGCTGCTGGTGTGTGCAGAAGACGGTGGGCACTTGCTCCTTTCTGAGCCTCCCCCTTGCCTTGTGGCCTTTGGGGGGCTCTACAGGACCAGGCTTCTCACAGGCTGTGCACACCTACCCTCAGTGGGCCCTGGTGGGGGGCAGTAGCCTTGAATCACTCGCTGCTCGTGTCATCATCCCAGTTCTGCCCCCTGACCACAAAATGACCGTGTACCTACAGGTGGCCTCAGGATGTGGGCCTTTGGCTCTGGTGTGGCCTAGAGTGGCGTGCTGTGCTCGGCACCCTGGATCGTCCATGTGCATTTGGGAGGCAGATTTGTCTGGTTAAACAAGCAGTGGCTGCTCAGTAAGCCTTGCTGCTGTGTGAGTAGGTAGGTGAGTTATCGGAGAGCTCCACCTTGCGATTCTGGAGTGTTGGATTCCATTGTGTGTGCTTTGGACATCAAATCTCCATTACAGGTCGTGATGGGACTTAAGCCCGCGTGTCTACAACAGAGCACCAGGCTCAGCATGGTCGTTTCTGCATTATTTGTTAATATTTGTTTGCTGATCATGTTGTCTGCTGTGGATGCCCATGAGCATGCATATGCCTGTAGGATGAAAGTAAAGTTGACAGACTTGATGCATTTGCTGATTTGATTTACTGTGTGTTGTGGAAGGAACACCAGTCCTCGATGTTTGGGGAGGCGACCCTGAAGCCTCATGGGGAATGCTGGAGAGGCAAGGCCAAAGGCCTGGCAGTGTGGACCACTGTAGAAGGCTCGGCCCAGCCCCCACTTGAGTCTTCTGGGTTGGTGGGACAGTGCTGTTAGCAGTGGACATGGGGGAGGGGCTGCCAGGCCCCAGGGACCCCGGCCCTTCCTGTAGATGCCCTGCCCTGGCCCCTCCCAAAGATAGCACCATGATGTGCTTCCAGAGAGCTGAGGCCTGGGAGGCCCCCTTCACGGCTCTGCTTCTTGAGAACAAATTGGAGCCGCTCTGCCTGCGGACCGGCATGCTGATTCCCTCCTCTGGATCTGGGAGGTGGACTTCCCTGTTGACCAGAAATGGCCTACTGGGCAGATGTTTGAGCTTGGAGCAGTGGGTCAGGTATGGGGTCTGGAATCAATATAGGATAGAGGTAGATGCTGGAGTCTTCTTTCTGCTGTCTTTCCATCCCTTAACTCCGTCGAATGGGCAAACATCTGGTGTCCTGACGGCATTGTCTTGTTCTGTCCAGCAGGCCACAGTGCCAGCCTGTTCCAACCTTTGGAGCTGGGACCAGTAACGCTTGTCATCAGGATGTTATGTGCGTTAATTTTAAAAACCACACGCTGTGCGAGTCAAAGATGCAGTTGTATTATGTGAGAAAGCATTCATAGCTCTTTCCTACGAGGCCTCACTCAAGAGTGTAGTGGTGTTCCAGCGCTGGCCGAAGGGAGAGGCGAGTTGGAGAGTCAGAAGAGCAGAGTGTCATCTCAGGCAGTGGCTCTTAGTTCCCAGCAGGCTTGGGAGTAGGGCACCTGGGCAGTTGGCTGCAGACTCCTGCGTTCTGGGCCCATCAGGTCAGCAGGTCTGGTGGGCTTGGGCCCTGATGCAGGTGCTTTCCTGCATGGTTCTAAGCCAGAATGGAGTCCTGGCAGATCATACTGCACTCCATACTTCCAGAGGCAGGATGGCCTGGGCATCTGCATTTTACCCAGAGGCACTAGTGATGCATGGACGCAGGCTGCCTGGCACCAGAACCATTGGAAACTAGTGCTGTTGGCTAACCCTGGTGCTCTAGGTGCTTGCTGCAAATTTATCCAATGGGTGCTTGCTGCAGCCTTATGAGCCTGCTACCATTTCACAGATGTGAAAGCTGGGATGCAGAGCAGGTGGTAGCTGGTAAGTGGCTGAGCCTGACTTTGGGTCAGGTTCTGGACCGTGGACCTCACAGCACCACCGCTTTGGGTTTAAACGCAGAACAGTTCAGATGAGCTTGAATCCAGAGGGAAGGAGAATTGAGGTGCTGATTCAGGCACTGGCCAGTGGGTTCTTACACCATGATCGTGGGAGAAGTGAATGACAAGAAGTCTCAGCGTGTAAGATGGAGCACCGTTTCCATGTCGCTCACCTCCTGCCCCCTTTTGTCACCTTCTACCCCTGTCTGCAGCCCACGCAGACACGGGACTGGAAACCCCCTCTGCAGCACGACTGGCTCCCCAGAAGGAAGCTGGGAGAAGAACGGGCATCATTCTTCCTTTCCTCTTTGGCCAGTTCTCCCAAGTTAGAACTGCTTAGTGACTGGTGGGCGGAGGCTATTCTGTTATGCAGGCAGCTTTAGAGCCCAACTTTCAGGCATCTGAGA